ATTTTGCAAGGTAAGTAGCATTTTGCAAGGTATGCAGTATTTTGCAAGGTAAGTAGCATTTTGCAAGGTATGCAGTATTTTGCAAGGTAAGTAGTATTTTGCAAGGTAAGTAACATTTTGCAAGGTATGCAGTATTTTGCAAGTTGAGCAGTATTTTGTAAGATGAGCAGTATTTTGCAAGGTGAGTAGTATTTTGCAATGGTAAGTAGTATTTTGCAAGGTAAGCAGTATTTTGCAAGATAAGCAGTATTTTGCAAGGTAAGCAGTATTTTGCAAGGTAAGCAGTATTTTGCAAGGTAAGCAGTATTTTGCAAAGTGAGTAGTATTTTGCAAGGTAAGTAGTATTTTGCAAGGTGAGTAGTATTTTGCAAGGTAAGCAGTATTTTGCAAGGTAAGCAGTATTTTGCAAGGCGAGTAGTATTTTGCAAGGTAAGCAGTATTTTGCAAGGTAAGCAGTATTTTGCAAGGCGAGTAGTATTTTGCAAGATAAGCAGTATTTTGCAAGGTGAGTAGTATTTTGCAAGGTAAGTAGTATTTTGCAAGGTGAGTAATATTTTGCAAGGTAAGCAGTATTTTGCAAGGTAAGCAGTATTTTGCAAGGCGAGTAGTATTTTGCAAGGTAAGCAGTATTTTGCAAGGTAAGCAGTATTTTGCAAGATAAGCAGTATTTTGCAAGGTGATTAGTATTTTGCAATGGTAAGTAGTATTTTGCAAGGTAAGTAGCATTTTGCAAGGAAAGTAGTATTTTGCAAGGTAAGTAGTATTTTGCAAGGTATGCAGTATTTTGCAAGGTGAACAGTATTTTGCAAGATAAGTAGTATTTTGCAAGGTATGCAGTATCTTGCAAGGTGAGCAGTATTTTGCAAGGTAAGTAGTATTTTGCAAGGTAAGTAACATTTTGCAAGGTATGCAGTATTTTGCAAGTTGAGCAGTATTTTGTAAGATGAGCAGTATTTTGCAAGGTGAGTAGTATTTTGCGATGGTAAGTAGTATTTTGCAAGGTAAGCA